GGAAGCTTCCAGTCATGGCAGAAGATGAAGCAGGAGTAGGTACATCTTATGTGGTGGGAGCCAGGAGCAAGAGAAAATGAGGGAGAGGTGCTATACACTTCTAAATGACCAGTTCTCATGAGAACTCACTCATTATCATGAGGATAGTACCAAAGGATGGTGCTAAACCATTCATGAGAAATCTGCCCCCATGATCCAATCATCTCCCACCAGGCCTCACCTCCAGCACTGGAGACTACAGTTTGACATGAGATTTGGTGGGGACACAGATCCAAGTCATACCAGTGCCCATATCAATGAATTTGGGCCTATCTAGTGTTACATTTTAACCTTCTTGATCTAATTTCCTTAGAATCCATCCCTTACATGTTCCTGGGTTTCTTCTGATACATTTTATCAGAGTTGAAATTATTTTGTTGTGTGAGCTTTTTTCTCTTGTATTATGTTACATATCTTTGCCCCTGGATTGTGGACTAGTTATGACTCTAGTGACAACAGTAAGTGGTTATGGTGTGGGTCTGCAGGAGAATATATGTTACCTTCCAAGGTATCTGGACCAAGTGAAATTGTCACACAGATTTCAAAATGAAGGCTTTCTCCTCAGAAACCAAAAGCTCAAAGTGTCTTAGGTTGTAGTTAGTCTCTTTATTGTTGCTATGATATAATACTTGAGTAATTTATAAAGAAAAGAGGTTTCTTTGGCTCAGGATTCTGCTGCTGGAAAGTCCAAGAGCATTGCCCCAGCATCTGCTTCTTATGAGGCTCACATGCTGTGACAAAACATGGTAGAGAGCCAGATGGGGAAGCAGGCTTGTGCAGAAGGGACCAAACACAAACAGCAGCCTTGCTTTATAATGACTAGGTCTTGTGGGAACTAATCCAGTCCTGTGAGAGCTAAAATGCACTTCTGCCTGACAGCATTGATCTATTCATGTGGGATCCACTCCCATAACCCAAACATCTCTTGTTAGGCCCCTCCTCCCAGTGCTGTGATATTGAGGACCAAGCCTCAACAGGAATTTTGATGGGAACAGACCACATCCAAATCATAACAGGGGTTTAAGATCATGTCTTTCATCTGGATCCAACCAGATGTCTGCATTCCAGGTTCCATATTGTCATTATTCCCTGACTGTACGTTCTAAAAAATTTAGTTTCTTGATGCCTCAGCATTCTTTTTTTTTTTTTTTTTTTTTTTTTGAGACGGAGTTTCGCTCTTGTTACCCAGGCTGGAGTGCAATGGCACGATCTCGGCTCACCGCAACCTCCGCCTCCTGGGTTCAGGCAATTCTCCTGCCTCAGCCTCCTGAGTAGCTGGGATTACAGGCACGCGCCACCACGCCCAGCTAGTTTTTTATATTTTTAGTAGAGACGGGGTTTCACCATGTTGACCAGGATGGTCTTGATCTCTCGACCTCGTGATCCACCTGCCTTGGCCTCCCAAAGTGCTGGGATTACAGGCTTGAGCCACCGCGCCCGGCTGATGCCTCAGCATTCTAACAGTCTGTGAGCTCCCTACTCAAGTGACCAGTGTGATGAGGCAGGTCCCTGCTACAAGTTCTTCTGTAGGCCCTCCCCTGACCATGACCTAGTAACATTCAAATGCAGCAATGAAATCGCATGCCTTTTGCTTCTATACCTCAAGCCCCAATAAAGGCAGTTACCCTTAAGGGAGGCCTCTCTCAGCTCCCTAACTGCTTGCGAGAGCCTCCTGCTTTGGTCCTCCTCCAGCATGGCCCCCTGAAGGCATGGCATGCCTCCCTCTCTAGAATCTATGAGTGTTGCTGGGCATGGTGGCTCAAGCCTGTAATCCCAGCACTTTGGGAGGCCGAGGCGGGTGGATCACGAGGTCAAGAGATTGAGACCATCCTGGTCAACATGGTGAAACCCCGTCTCTACAAAAAATTAGCTGGGCATGGTGGCGTGTGCCTGTAATCCCAGCTACTCAGGAGGCTGAGGCAGGAGAATTGCCTGAACCCAGGAGGCGGAGGTTGCGGTGAGCCGAGATCACGCCATTGCACTCCAGCCTGGGTAACAAGAGTGAAACTCCGTCTCAAAAAAAAAAAAAAAAAGAATCTATGAGTGTCATAAATCCTTTAATTTCTTGAACCTCTCCAAGTGTAATTGCAGGAGTGTGTTGGAGGGATGCTGAAGAAGGATCCCACAAGAGGGACTTACTGTCCCATTTACAACACAGTTGGTGAAAAGGGTGAGATCATTTTAAAGTGGGGTGGAAAGTCTCTTGTAAGCACCCTTTGACTTTGTGGTTTGCTGATTGGCTTTGCCATTTGGGAAGGCTGCCTGTCTTGTTGGAGTTTATGTGTATTGCTACACTGTGCTTTGTGTTGCTCCTTCTGAGTGTTGGCCAAGAGTCTTTGTCATAAAGTTTGGATCTTGTGCTAGTCCCAGTAATGCACCCCAGGATACTGCTTACCAGCCATGATCCCAGGAAGAGGGGTAATTGTCCTGTTCTCCAGGATCTGGGGTCATTTGTTCATGCGAAGTTGGCACTACTTAGTGCACATACAAGTGACTGTGATTTGAAGAAGGGACCCTGGCAATAGAATTGGGCTCGTCTTTTGTATATTTGCACTAGCTACACCTTGCGAGGTGCCTCCTATGTTGCGATGCTATTACGGTTTAGTGCTGATGCTCCCTGCCCCCGCCTCGGCCTCCCAAAGTGCTGGGATTACAGGCTTGAGCCACCGCGCCCGGCGCTGCTGTTTCTTTATGTGTTCTCTTTGTTTCTTCCTTGTCTTCTTGCACTCTTGTAACTCGAAAATTTGCTCTTTCAATGATGTTCCATGAATCCTGTAATTTTTCTTCATTTTTGTTTTTTCTCCTTTGTGTATTTCTAAATAGTCTGTTTTCAAGTTCAAAGAGTTTTTCTTTTCCTTCTCTACTGTTAATGATCTCAGTTGCATTTTTCATTTCATTTGTAAGAACTGTAAGGAAAGGAAGGAATAAAAATAAAAGCAGAAGTTTTAGGAAAAAGTTAACTCTTGAATGATAATAAAAGGTGATTTTCTGAGAAGACCCATCAAACAGTTGACATAGGGCGGGGTCTGATTTGCCACTGCTGTTGCGCATGTTTTGTGCCCTCCTGGAGGAGCAATGGGCAGAGCTTAGAATACTGATTTCAGTGTTTCTACTTGGAACCCTGCTGAGGCAACCAGAGATGGAAATGAGTTTTGACTTGTTGGTAAAACTAAAACATTCTGGTTCTAATTCTTTTTTTTTTTTTTTTTTTTTTTTTTTTGAGACGGAGTTTTGCTCTTGTTACCCAGGCTGGAGTGCAATGGCGCGATCTCGGCTCACCGCAACCTCCGCCTCCTGGGTTCAGGCAATTCTCCTGCCCCAGCCTCCTGAGTAGCTGGGGTTACAGGCACGCACCACCATGCCCAGCTAATTTTTTGTATTTTTAGTAGAGACGGGGTTTCACCATGTTGACCAGGATGGTCTTGATCTCTCGACCTTGTGATCCACCCGCCTCGGCCTCCCAAAGTGCTGGGATTACAGGCTTGAGCCACCGCGCCCGGCCGGTTCTAATTCTTTATAGTCAAAAGTAGAATAGCATATTTTAAGTAAGCCAGGTATCAATTCCCAGAGTCCTTTATGTGGTGTTCATTATGAGGGAGTAACAAAAACCACAGAGGACTTAGGCACAAACTTGACTGCATTCAAGACTTGGTTCACCACTTCCTAAGTAGATGATATTAGAAGAGTCATTTGTGTTTTCTGAATTTAGTTTTTTTCAGCACTAAATAGGGCTATTGTTCAGATAAATAAATGAGCATATATAGAGCATATATATACATATATATATATATATGTATATATATGTAATGTCTAACACATAACAGTCCCTAGTAAATAGCAGTTGGTGTTATTAATACTCATTTTATATAGAACATATATCATTTCTAGTGGATTTCACACGTATCACCAGCAGTAAAGATTTAATATATGGTATTTGATAAATGATAAGTAATGCTTGTTGATTAATCATTGATGTCTACATGAGTCCCATTGCTCTATATAAAGAGGAATAGATTGCCAGTTATCCACTTATATTTACAAGCCACCCTGACACGTCCTTGGAATCACAAAAAAGTGTGTCTAGACATATCTCACTGTCACACTCACAGGATAGAAGCCATGTATTTGTCCTATGGTAAGTTTTTCTGAAAATCTGCTTTAGGTACCTATATTACTGTGTTCTCATGGCTATGCAGAAATATGTAAGACTGGATCATTTATAAAGAAAAGAGGTTGACTCACAGTTCTGCATGGCCAGGGACACCTCAGGAAACTTACAATCGTGGCAGAAGGCACCTCTTCACAGGGTGGCAGGAGAAATAATGAATGCAAGCAGGGGAAATGCCAGATGCTTATAAAACCATCAAACCTTGTGAGAGTCACTCATTATCATGAAAGCAGCATGGGGGAAACTGCTCCCATGATCCAATTACATCCTCCTGGTTCTGCCCTTGACATGTGGGGATTATTACAATTCAAGATGAGATCTGGGTGGGGACACAGAGCCATACCATATCAGTACCCTATGCACAATATAGAGTCCAGTGCTCTAGGCCTTAGTATTCACACTAGTAGTTCCTTTCTGAGGTGCTAAAGTGGGCCATAGAGGGCTGTTGTGTAAGTTAGCTCCCTTATATGTGTGCTTTGGGAAGAGGTGCTGCATAATCTCATTTGTGAGTTGTATTACCATGGGCACAAAAAGACTCACATTTTCAGATCTTAAGTTTCTTTACCTGTACAATAAGGATATTATAATTTTACTTACAACAGCCTGGCTCACAGTTTCTTTTTCTGGCTCTAGGTGAGACAGAACTGCAATGGCATTTTATGGATGTAGTGTGTATTTGTGTGAGTTTATATGAATTATATGAGAATTTTGAACCAGGATGGAATGACTTCCATGCATGCAAATGTTGGAACTGTGATTGTGTCTGGGTTTTCATGCCTTCTTTCTTTTCCAGGAATTCTTTCTAGGAACTCAATGTATCTTCATGAAGGAAAGACAGAGGCAGAAAGGAAGATGGCTTACTGCCTGACAAATTGTTATCAGGTATGCAGGAAGTGTATACTTTCACAAAATTACATGCTTGTATCACCGGTAAACACATTGCCTTCTAGGCAGATGTTTCTCCAGAGCTTCTTTAAGTAAATAACGACTCACTCAAGCACTGAGTCACTAGTTGAATTTCCCCAGGGAGTGGAGTTTCTTATACTAGTGAAGGATTACCTTGAAAAACATTTCAGTATTTCAGTAAGCATTAATTAATCTTGTTCCTTATGGTGCCAGATGTATGTTTCTCATTTTGCTGAGTGGTCTGGCAGATGAAAAGGAAGATGAAAGCATCCTTTACTCAAAGACTAATCTTGGCCAGGCACAATGGCTCACACCCATAATCTTAGCACTTAGCACTTTGGGAGGCTGAGAGGTGGCAGTACTGCTTGAGCTTAGGAATTTGAGACCACCCTGGGCAACATAGTGAGACATCGTCTCTAAAAAAAAAAAAAAGTAAGCATAGTGGTGCATGGCTGTAGTCCCAGCTACTCGGGAGGCTAAAGCAGGAGAATCACTTGAACCTGGGAAGTGAAGGTTGCACTGAGCCGAGATCACACCATTTCCCTCCAGCCTGGGTGACAGAGTAAGACCCTGCTTCAAAAAAAAAAAAAAAAAAAAAAAAAAAAAGACTTAATTATTTATCACTGTTTATTTATTTTTTGAGATGGAGTTTCACTCTTGTTGCCCAGGCTGTAGTGCAATGGTGTGATTTTGGATCACCGCAACCTCTGCCTCCCGGGTTCAAGTGATTCTCCTGCCTTAGCCTTCCAAGAAGGTGGGATTACAGGTATGCGCCACCATACCTGGCAAATTTTGTATTTTTAGTAGAGACAGGGTTTCTCCATGTTGGTCAGGCTGGTCTCGAACTCCCAACCTCAGGTGATCTGCCTGCCTCAGCCACCCAAAGTGCTGGGATTAACAGGTGTGAGCCACCGTGCCCGGACATTTATCACCATTTATCAAGTATATGATGCAGTGTACTCTGGGGTATTTTTTTTTTGAGATGGAGTCTTGCTCTGTCACCAGACTGGGAATGCAGTGGCACAATCTTGGCTCACTGCAACCTCCGCCTCCTGGGTTCAAGTGATTCCCCTGACTCAGCCTCCCAAGTAGATGGGACTACAGGTGTGCACCACCACGCCTGGCTAATTTTTTTTGTATCTTAGTTGAGATGGAGTTTCACCATGTTGGCAATGATGGTCTCAATCCCCTGACCTCATGATCCACCTGCCTTGGCCTCCCAAAGTTCTGGGATTATAGGTATGAGCCACCACGCCTAGCCTGAGGTAATTTTCAAGAGAGGGAAATACAGTGAGAAAGTGCACACAATCTGTTTGTGATGAGAAGTTCATGTTTGAGATGTACCATTAAAGCCATACAGCTGGAATTGATAAGTAGTGAATGAGCAAGGATAGGGAGAGGAATAGTTGGGATTTACCTGGGATTGTTGAGCCTTGGGTAGATAAAACTCTTTATAGGCATTGGAGTCTGTTAACTGATTCTTCAGTGAACATTGGTTGATATGTTACTTGGCATAAGTCAGCATGTGTGTGATGGTTTAGGACTCGGTGACCTTTGAGGATGTAAGTGTGGACTTCACTCAGGAGGAGTGGACTTTATTGGACCCACTTCAGAGAAACTTTTACAGAGATGTGATGCTGGAGAATTATGAGAACCTGGCCAAAGTTGGTAAGACTGCCATCATTTTATGCAGCCTCTTATGGAAGAGATATACATTGTGTACTTACTGTGTTACAGAATTCTTTCTGTCAACACTGAATATAACAGAGATGCTGTCCCTGCCCTTATAGGTCTTAATTACTCTGGTGGTTTTCAAAATGTGGTCCAGTTTCAGCAGTATCACTGTTACTCCCTCAGAAATGTATAGTCTTAATCTCTGCCTTTGACCTACTGAATCAGAACCTGTCCACTTGGATTATCATCTGTGTTTTAACTGTTCTTCCACATGAATGTGATGCACTATAGTATTAAAATCACTGGTGTAGTTTTATTCTCCAAGTATACATGGGTCTCTTTGTTTCACTTTCTTTTTTTTTCTTCGTTCAAGAGTTTGACAACATACCTTATTTCTGTGACTATAAGGTTATTGCTTTGTAAATGTGTATATAAGCATGAATTTGCTTTTCAGAGGTCAGAGATAGCCAATTTTTAAGTGCACGGAAGAGTTATTTTCAGTTTTAGTCTATTTGAAATAATTTCACTGCTTTCTCTAGAACTGTAGTTCCTAGCCGGGCGCGGTGGCTCAAGCCTGTAATCCCAGCACTTTGGGAGGCTGAGGCGGGTGGATCACGAGGTCGAGAGATCGAGACCATCCTGGTCAACATGGTGAAACCCCGTCTCTACTAAAAATACAAAAATTAGCTGGGCATGGTGGCACGTGCCTGTAATCCCAGCTACTCAGGAGGCTGAGGCAGGAGAATTGCCTGAACCCAGGAGGCGGAGGTTGCGGTGAGCCGAGATCGCGCCATTGCACTCCAGCCTGGGTAACGAACGAAACTCCGTCTCAAAAAAAAAAAAAAGAACTGTAGTTCCTGATTAATAGAAAGGTTTATCATCTCTTGCATGAGCCTCTTCCATTAATTTTTTAATTTTTTTGAGATGGAGTTTTGCTCTTGTTGCCCAGGCTGGAGTGCAGTGGTATGATCTCGGCTCTCTGCAACCTCCACCTCCCAGGTTCAAGTGATTCTCCTACCTTAGCCTCCCAAGTAGCTGGGATTACAGGCACATGCCACCACACCCGACAAATTTTTGTATTTTTAGTAGAGATGAGGTTTCACCATGTTAGTCAGGCTGGTCTTGAACTCCTGACCTGATCCACCCACCTTGACCTCCCAAAGTGCTGGGAGTACAGGCGTGAGCCCCCTTGCCTGGCCTGAGCCTCTTCCATTAATGTATCATTATTCATGTAAAGGATTTCAGCTCCTTAAACCCAGTCTGATCTCTTGGTTGGAAGAAGAAGAAGAATTGAGGACATTGCAGCAAGGACTTCTCCAAGGTGAGTATTTATGAAGAACTACCTTGGTCAGTGAGAAGTTCAGTATGTTTGGAAGCTGTGTTAGTCTGTTCTTGTGTTGCAAGAAAGAAATACCCGAGACTGGGTAATTTATAAAGAAAATAGGTTTATTTTGGCTCACAGTTCTGCAGGCTCTACAGAAGACGTGGTGCTGACATCTGTTTCAAGTGAAAGCCTCAGAAGCCTTAGAATCATGGCAGAGGCAAAGGGGGAGCAGGCACATTACATGATGAGAAAGGGAGTAAAAGAGAAGTTGGGGCAGTGTCACAGTCTTTTAAACTAGTGGTCCCCAATCTTTTTGGCATCAGGGACCAGTTTCATGGCAGACAATTTTTTCACAGAAAATTCCTGGGTGGCAGGGGCATGGTTTCAGGATGATTTAGGTGCCTTACATTTTTGTGGACTTTATTTCTATTATTATTGCATTGTAATATATAATGAAGTAATTATACAACTCACCGTAAGGTAGAATCAGTGGGAACCCTGAGCTTGATTTCCTGTAACTGGATGGTCCCATTTGGGGATCTGGGGGTGAGGGAAGCAGTGACAGATCATCAGGTATTAGATTATCTCAAGGAGCATGCAAGCTAAATCCCTCACATGCACAGTTCATGTTAGAGTTTGCTCTTCTATGAGAATCTAATGCTGCTGATGATCTGACAAGAGACAGAGCTCAGGAGGCAATGCCGGATGGGGAGTAGCTATAAATATAGCTTGTTCTCCTGCCACTCACCTCCTGTGGTGCAGCCCAGCTCTGGTCCATGGCCTCAGAGTTGGCGACTCTTATTTTAAACTACCAGGTCTCACACGAACTCAGAACAAGAACTCACTCATTACTCCGAGGATGTCAGTAAGGCATTCATGAAGGATCTGCCCCCATGATCCAAATACCTCCCACCTGGTCCCACCCCAAATATTTGGTGTTACATTTCCATATGAGATTTGGAGGGAACTAACATCTAAACCATCAGAAACATAATGAGGAAACTTTTAAGATGCACCTTATCTCACAAGGTTGAGGCCATTTAACTCAGAAGTTATAGAAAATATTCCATTTCTGATATTCTTTAAGCTTCCATCTACTCCAACTTTCTATGATCTCCTGAAACTATATATTCTGTTTCTTTTTCAAGTTCTTTGCTTTGAAGTATGTTCTTGGTCCAGATTTTTCCTACTTTTCTGATAACATTATTTCTGTTTAACGTTAGTTTTAAACTAGTCAGTTTGTAGCAAATTAGCTAAAATTTTGACTCTTTGCCGGGCACGGTGGCTCAAGCCTGTAATCCCAGCACTTTGGGAGGCTGAGGCGGGTGGATCACGAGGTCGAGAGATCGAGACCATCCTGGTCAACATGGTGAAACCCCGTCTCTACTAAAAATACAAAAAACTAGCTGGGCGTGGTGGCGCATGCCTGTAATCCCAGCTACTCAGGAGGCTGAGGCAGGAGAATTGCCTGAGCCCAGGAGGCAGAGGTTGCGGTGAGCCGAGATCGCGCCATTGCACTCCAGCCTGGGTAACAAGAGTGAAACTCCATCTCAAAAAAAAAAAAAAAAAAAAAAAAAAAATTTTGACTCTTTATTCTTATCATTGCCAAATTTTTGATATAGTCTAAATGTTCAAATTTGGCTTTTTTTTCTTATGTTTATTTTGAAAACAAATGTGAATGAGGCCTATCATTTTTAACTCTTTCATTTTACCTTTTTTCTTTCTTTCTTTTTCTTTCTTTTTTTTTTTTTTTTTTTACATACTTCAATTTATGTTTTTGTTTAATTTCAGAATGGGCAATAAAACTTCACACCAGTGTTTCAGCAGTGCAGCAGGATTTTTGTAAAATACAAACTTCTAAAGGGATACAAACGGTAATGTTAAGAAAGGGTATTTCTTAGTTTTCACATTCAGAGAATATCGGGACTTCCAATGAAGAAAATAAGCACAAGACAATTGAGAGAAATAGCATTCACTCAAGAGGGAACAATGTCAGACTGGGTGCAGTGGCTCACGCCTGTTACCCCAACACTTTGTGAGGCCAAGGCAGGTGGATCATTTGAGATCGGGAGTTCAAGACCAGCCTGATCAACATGGAGAAACCCTGTCTCTACTAAAACTACAGAATTAGCCAGGTGTGGTGGCGTATGCCTGTAATCGCAGCTACTCGGGAGGCTGAGGCAGGAGAAGCGCTTGAACCTGGGAAGTGGAGGTTGCGGTGAGCCAAGATCGCACCATTGCACTCCAGCCTGGGCAACAAGAATGAAACTTCGTCTCAAAAAAAAAAAAAAAAGAAAAGAAAAAAAAAGAGGGAGTAATGTCTCTGGAGAAATACTCTGATAATGATGAATTTGGGGAGATCCAAAAACTTAGTGTGAAACTGTCCTTCTTAAAAAAAAAAAATGGAGTAATGATCTCAATGAGGAGGACACATTTTCTTGTAGGTAGACCTCTCTCTATTGTTCCTTAAACCAAATACAGACTAGTCGAATTTTCCCCAGAAAGTCATACCTCTCACATTGGTGAGGCATTACCCTGAAAATTATCTGAGTATTTTTGTAGTTATGAATTAATGTTCATTTTCCCAGTGCCAACTGCATATTTTTTTTTCTGGGTGCCAGGACAGATGGTACAGGGTATGAAAGTGTTATTTTTTAAAAGAATTTATTCATATCATCATTTATCAAGTGTTTCTTGTGTGCTCCGGCGTGTACTGCAGTAGAGAGGAAAGGAAAAGAGCTCCCAGTCTAGTTGTGGTTGATAAGTTCATGTGTAAGAGGTGCTGTTACAGCCATGTTACTAGAGGAAATTGACAGTGAGTGAATGTGGATAGAAGAGTTCCTAGGACCATTGAACCTTGGGGTGTAGATAGTGGGAGCCCTCAGTACCCTGTATAGGCATTGGGTCCCCTTTCCTCATTCTTCAGCCAACATTGGTGGACATGTTACTTGGCTCAAACCAGCCTATGTCTGATGGTTTAGGACCTGGTAAGCTTTGACAGTGTAGCTGTGGAGTTCACCCAGGAAGAGTGGACTTTACTGGACCCAACAGAGAGAAACTTGTACCGTGATGTGGTGCTGGAGAACTACAAGAACCTGTCTTCAGTAGGTAAGTGTGGTATCATCCCTTGTAGCCTCCTCTACAAGGGAGGAGAACAAGAACAAGATACAAATTATGTCCTTATTGTGTTCTAGGATTAGTGATGTCAAATCTGAATACAGGGGGATGTATACACATTGAAAAAACATTTTAAATGAATAAAATAGGAAATAACATGCAGTTCTTATACTAATGGGTTTTAATCTTTTTTTTTTTTTTTTCTTTTTTTGAGATGGAGTTTTGCCCTTGTTACCCAGGCTGGAGTGAAATGGCGCGATCTCGGCTCACCGCAATCTCCGCCTCCTGGGTTCAGGCAATTCTCCTGCCTCAGCCTCCTGAGTAGCTGGGATTACAGGCACGCGCCACCATGCCCAGCTAATTTTTTGTATTTTTAGTAGCAATGGGGTTTCACCATGTTGACCAGGATGGTCTCGATCTCTTGACCTCGTGATCCACCCACCTCGGCCTCCCAAAGTGCTGGGATTACAGGCTTGAGCCACCGTGCCTGGCGTGGGGTTTTGATCTTGTATGTTTGTTTGCATCAATAGCATCACCACCACTCTCTTAACAATTGTGTACATTCTCAGACTCCACATTTGCTGTACTAAATCAAAAAGTCTGCTGTTGGGGCCTTGTCTTCAGATGAGTAATTCACTTCAAAGTTGAGAACTACTGGTATGGTAGTTTTCCCAAGAGAATCAAGATCTCTCTTTGAGCTTCCATTTTCTACTTTAATAAAGGTTTTAGTGGTTTTTAAAATTTGTATTGAACATTTTCTGTTTAGAAAGAAAAAGCACAGCTCACTGCCAGTGCTCATTCCTTGGGGCAAATAGGAAATGCGTTAAGCTTGAATGTGAATTTCAGAAGTCAGAGATAACCACTGTCTTCGGAGAACAGAGAGAAGGGATGTATGCAGTTTAGGTACTTTTCATTGCCTTAATTAGAAACATAGTCCCTGTTTTATGGAAAAGTTTGCCATTTCTTTCATGAGCCTTTTCCATTGGTGTATCTTTCCCTGTGTACAGGGTACCAGCTTTACAAACCCAGTCTGATCTCTTGGATGGAGGAAGAGGAAGAGTTGAGCACATTGCCAAGAGTTCTCCAAGGTGAGTGTTTGTGAAGAACAACCCTGGTCCATGAGAAGTTCTCAGTATGTTTGGAAGCATAATGAAGTTTTATAAGATGCCCTTTGAATCAGAAGGCTGAGTCCACTAGATTTGGATGTTTTGGGGTTTCTTAACTTTTCATTCTCTGTTACTTTGCATCTATCCAGACTTGCCTATTAGATAATAAATGACCTTACTTCTTTAAGTTGATGGTTTTATTATATGCTTTTGTTCAAATTTTTCCTACTTTTTTTTCCCTGATAGTACCGTTTCTGTTCATCATTATGTTTAATTTTCGTAGAACAGGTTGTTTTAAAAATTACTAAAACTTGACCCCATATGATAGCCACATTTTCGGTATATGTAAATTGCTCAAATCTGTCTGCTTTTTATGTAACCTACCATTTTGTGTGTAAACAACTCTCATATATATATTTTTCTCTTTTACTTCAGAATGGAAAATGTGCCTGAAAACCAATGGGCCAGTCCTTTGGCAAGATAATTTTTGTTTAAAAACATTAAATGGGACTCAGTTGGTAAGATTAACAAAATAACTTTCTTATTTTTCACATTCAGACTAACAATTGCATTGTAGAAATCAGCAGAAATGGCCAGGCAGGGTGGCTCACGCCTGTAATTCCAGCACTTTGGGAGGCTGAGGTGGGTGGATTACGAGGTCAGGAGTTCGAGACCAGCTTCGCCAATGTGGTGAAACCTTGTCTCTGGTAAAAATACAAAAATTAGCCGGGCACAGTGGGGCGTGCCTGTAGTCCCAACTACTCAGGAGGCTGAGGCAGAAGAATTGCTTGAACTTGAGGCAGAGGTTTCAGTGAGCTGAGATGGCGCTACTGCACTCCAGCATGCGTGACAGAGTGAGACTCTGTTTCAAAAAAAAAGAAAAAGAAAAGAAAAGAAATCAGCAGAAATGATAGACAGTTGAGAGAAGTGGCACTCACCCAACAGGGAGAAATATCTGGAGAGATATCCCATACCTAGTGTGAAGCTTGGTACTTAAGATTTCCCATGAATGTTCATTCCAACATGTATAACTACACATTTGAGTTTTTTAAATAACTTCATGAAAAGCTATAGGAATCGAGGCCGGGTGCGGTGGCTCATGCCTGTAATCCTAGCACTTTGGGAGGCTGAGGTGGGTGGATCACCTGACATCAGGAGTTCAAGACCAGCCTGACCATCATGGAGAAACCCCATCTTTAAAAAAAAAAAAAAAAATTAAAAAAAAAAAGAAAAGCTATAGGAATCTTTCCAAGATTAGAGCAGATGGCATAGGAGTCTTACAGTAGGATTCCATTGTTCAAGTTGAAGGAAATCCAAAGGGTAGGAACTAGATGCATGTTATAACAGTGGCAAAAATAATGATCATAATGTTTTTTTGTTTTTTGAGACAGAGTCTTGATCTGTTGCCAGGTGCCAGGCTGGAGTGCAGTGGCGCAATCTCTGCCTCCTGGGTTCAAGCAGTTCTGCCTCAGCTTCCTGAGTAGCTGAGGCTACAGGTCCGCGCCACCACACCCAGCTAATTTTTGTATTTTTTAGTAGAGATAGGATTTCACCATGTTGGCCAGGATGGTCTTCATCTCTTGACCTCATGATCTGCCCACCTTGGCCTCCCAAAGTGCTGGGATTACAGGCATGAGCCACTGTGCCCGGCCCATAATGTTTCTTAGATGAGTGATATCTATTAATAAGTTTGCTAAAGTGCTTCCTTCATTATTCATTCCTGTATTAACAGGCTAGAAACCAAAATGGAGAGGAACTCTATGACTGTAAGCAATGTGGAGAAGTGTTCTGTAAACATTCATGCCTTAAGACAAACATGAGTACTCAAAATAGAGAAAACATGTCTGAATGTATTCAGTATGTAAAAGACCTCCTTTCTCTATACAATAAAACCTCTACCATAAGGAAAGTTTCTGTGTTCAGTAAGCATGGAAAATCTTTCAGCCTGATTTTAAATGTTCAGGTCCAAAGAAAGTGCACACAAGATAAAACCTTTGAATGCATTGACTATGGGAAAGTCTTTGTTTATCAGTCACACCTTGAAGCGCACAGAAAAACTCAGAGTGGAGAAAAACTCTATGAATGGAAGCAATGTGGGGAAGCATTTACCCACTCCACAAGCCATGCTGTAAATGTTGAAACACACATTATTAAAAACCCCTATGAATGTAAGGAATGTGGAAAATATTTTAGATGCTCTACCCACCTTAATAATCACATGCAAACCCACTTTGGGATAAAACCTTATAAATGTAAGCACTGTGGGAAAACCTTCACTGTGCGGTCAGGCTTTCTTGAACATGTACGAACTCACACTGGAGAGAAGCCCTATGGGTGTAAGGAATGTGGTAAAGCCTTTCGTACATCTGCAGGCCTTGTTGAACATATAAGATGTCACGCTATAGAGAAAACCCTTAAATGTGACTATTGTGGGAAAGCCTTTATTTCTTACCCATCTCTTTTTGGACATTTGAGAACTCATAATGGAGCGAAGCCATATGAGCATAAGAAATGTGTGAAGGCCTTTGGTACATGCTCAGGCATTGTTGAAGATATAAGAAGTAACACAGGACAGAAACTCTTTGATTGTGACCAGTGTGGGAAAGTCTTTGTTTCTTTCTCATCTCTTTTTGCTCATTTGAGAACTCACACTGGAGAGAAGCCCTTTAAGTGTTACAAATGTGGGAAACCATTTATCTTTTCTGCCTGTCTTCATATTCACATGCGAACTCACATAGAAGAGCGACCCTATCAATGTAAGGAATGTGGGAAAACTTTCACTAAGTGCTCATATCTTACCAAACATTTACGAACGCACACTGAAGAAAAACCCTATGAATGTATGAAATGTGGGAAGGCCTTCACTGAGCGCTCATACCTGACTAGACATTTACGAAGACACAGTGGGAAGAAGCCCTATGGATGTAAGAAATGTGGAAAAGCCTTCACAGAACGCTCAGACCTTAATAAACATTTACGAACACACATTGGAGACAGGCCCTATGAACACAAGGAGTGTGGGAAAGCCTTTGTTGCCTCCTCAAGTCTAACTTATCATTTAAGAACTCACACTGGATATAAACCCTATAAATGTAATATGTGTGAAAAAGCTTACAGTAGATCTTGTGTACTAACTCAACACTTAAAAACTCATGCTGCAGAGAAGACTTCTGAATGTAACACATGTGGAAAATCCTTTTGAAATTCCTTGTGCTTTAATGATTGCTTACAAACTCACACCAAAATAAAATCGTATAAATGTAAGGACTGTGGGAAAGCCTTCACTTTTCATTCAGATCTTTCTAATCGTGCAAATTCACACTGGAGAGAAGCCCTATCAATGTAAGGAATGTGGGAAGGCCTTCTGTACATCCTCAGGACGTATTCAACATTTAATAATTCATATGGGATAGAAACAATTTGAATGTGACCAGTGTGGGAAAGCCTTTGCTTCTTTATCAGCTCCTATTGCACATTTGAAAACTCACACTAGAGAGAAGCCCCATGGATGTGGAAAAATGTGGAAAAACTTGCTGTTTCCTCAAGCCTAACTGAACATGTAAAAATTCACAGGAGAGACTAACATTATCAATGTAAGGAATGTGAGAAAGCCTGAACTCTTGAATCTTTCTGGATTTGTACAAAGCCCCACTGGAGAGAAACCCTGTAAATGTAAGGAATGTGGGAAAACAGTTTTTTTTTTTTTTTTTTCTTCTTTTTTTGGAGAAGGAGTTTCACCCTGTTGCCCAGGCTGGAGTGCAGTGGCATGACCTTGGCTCACCGCAACCTCCGCCTCCCAGATTCAAGCGATTCTCCTGCCTCAGCCTCCCGAGTAGCTGGGATTACAGGCATGTGCCACCACACCTGGCTGATTATTTTTTTTGTTTTGTTTTGAGATGGAGCCTCACTTTGTTTCCAGGCTGGAGTGTAGTGACACCATCTCGGCCTTCTGCAACCTCTGCCTCCCAGGTTCAAGCAATTCCCCTGCCTAAGCCTCCTTAAGCAGCTGGGACTACAGTTGTGTGCCACCATGCCCAGCTAATTTATTGTATTTTAGTAGAGACGGGGTTTCACCGTGTTGGCCAGGATGGTCCCAATCTCCTGACCTTGTGATCTGCCCAGTTCAGCCTCCTAAACTGCTGAGATTACAGGCATGAGCCACTGTGCCTGGCTCCTGATTTATTATATCTTTGGTAGAGATAGGGTTTCAACCTGTTGGCCAAGCTGGTCTCTAACTCCTGACCTCAAGTGATCACCAGCTTTGACCTCCTAAAATGCTGGGATTACAGGCATGAGTCACCGCACCTGTTGTTCTTCTCATATTATTGAACATGTAAAAACACGCTGGAGAGAAACCCCTTTTTTTGAGATGAAGTCTTGCTCCATAGCCCAGCCTGGAGCACAATGATGCAATCTTGGCTCATTGCAACTTCTGCCCCCTGGGTTCAAGTGATTCCCCTACCTCAGCGTCCCAAGTAGCTAGGATTACAGGCGTGCACCACTGCACCTGGCTAATTTTTTGCATTTTTAGTAGAAATGGGGTTTCACCATTTTGGCCAGGCTGGTATCAAACTTCTGACCTCAAGTAATCTGCCTGCCTTGGCCTCCCAAAGTGCTAGGATTACAGGTGTGAGCCGCCGCACCTGGCTGAGAAACCTATTTTATGTAAGGAATGAGGAAAATCCTTTTGGAAGTCCATGTGCCTTAATAGTCACATTGTAATTCATACTGGTGAGAAAACTTACCAGTGTAAGCATTGTGTCAAAAGTGCTCATGGACGTCCCTGTTCACTTCAAAGATAGGAAAGAACTTACACTCTGAAGATGCTCCATAAAGTTAAAGGCATCTGGGAGAACCATAGGAATCTCCTGACTGCATTACGTAAGAGTTCACCCTGAAGCTGTACAGTGTTAGAAACAGAAAGCTTTCAATGTTTCCTTGAGTTCTTGCAATGGAGATAAACCCTTTGGATATAAGATACGTTCAGAAGTATTCCTGACAAATGCTTTGGTGTTCACCTGCAATTTCACAGTGGAGAAAACTTCATGAAGGTAATAAACGTTGGAAAGTAATTTTTTATATTATTCTTCAACCTTTAGTGAGGTGCATTCACACTAATGAGAAACAGCATGTATGGAATATCAGAATTTTCTGTTTACTGAAACCTGACAGAGACATGGCCTTTCTAGGTGGTTCTATAGAACTAATTTTTATTTTAAATTTTTTTTTTTTTTTTTTTTTTTTTTTTTTGAGATTAAGTTTTGCTCTTGTTGCCCAGGCTGGAGTGCAATGTTGTGATCTTGGCTTACCACAACCTCTGCCTCCCAAGTTCAAGCAATTCTCCTGCCTCAGCCTCCTGAGTAGCTATGATTACAGGCATGCCCCACCATGCCTGGCTAATTCTGTATTTTTAGTACAAAAATACAGTACCATGTTGGTCAGTCTGGTCTTGAACTCGCAACCTCAGGTGGCCTGCCCGCCTCTGCCTCCCAAAGTGCTGGGATTACAGGTCTGAGCCATCACACCCGGCCTATAGAACTATTTTGAAAGTTTCTCATACCCCTCTGCTCATCCCTGGCATGGTATGTCTTTCTCCACACCACTCTAGTCTAGTTGCTACATCCTCTGGGTTACTACTGAACTAAAGTGGGTCTTCAGGGTTCAGACAGTCCTAACAGTGTAGATTCTGTTTTTGGTTTGTCATGGTCTTAAACATGGTCCACCTATAGTGGGTCACACTGGCCAAGGTAAAGGGTATGATACAGCTTTGCAATGTAAAAATACTCTTGTTCCTGTTTTCACACTTGATCTCAGATAAATGGTCAGGGTTGAAGAATGGTCTGAGTGGAGAAAGGTTCAAATAACAGAAGTAACTTAAGATACTGTGATTTCGCCAGGCGTGGTGGCTCACGCCTGTAATCCGAGCACTTTGGGAGGCCGAAGTGGGTGGATCACGAGGTCAAGAGATCGAGACCATCCTGGTCAGCAAGGTGAAACCCCATCTCTACTAAGAATACAAAAAAAAAATTAGCTGGGCATGGTGGCACGTGCCGGTAGTCCCAGCTACTCAGGAGGCTGAGGCAGGAGAATTGCCTGAACCCAGGAGGCGGAGATTGCGGTGAGCCGAGATCGCGCCATTGCACTCCAGCGTGGGTAACAAGAGCGAAACTCCATCTCAAAAAAAAAAAAAAAGAGATACTGTGATTTCATGGCCATGGAGGGAGACCCATAACCCTTCACCTGGAGAGGTGGGAACTCCTGTAACTATCGGGCAGTGCAGAGAGGTGGTGGGAACCACTAGTGTTGTCTTTGATGCCACTGTTTGGCACAGCAGTCATACATGCCTGACTCAATTAACTGCTATGATTGGCAGTATGACCCATTTCTGGATTTTCATTTTGCCCATGTGCTATAAAAACAGAGGAACTCCTGTGAACATAGATGGTCATGATATTCTGCTGTGCTTGATACCATCACTGGCACTTCCTGAATGTGGCCCTGGGATACACACACATACAAGCTGCATAACCAGATTGCAGTCTGAGTGGTACAAATTTAAATATTTCTGTTATATCATGTACAGCCATTAAGGCTTTTGTTGCTTGGTGACTCATTCTGTGGTTCTTAATCCAACCAGTGTAATGGTAATCCAAAGCTTTAGGTAAGTTTGCCAATCCTGAATCGGCTGGGTGTCATGGCTTATGCCTGTAATCCCAGCACTTTGGGAGGCCAAGTTGGGCAGATCACTTGGGCTCAGGAGTTCAAGATCAGCCTGGGCAAACATGGTGAAACCCCATCTCTACAAAAAATACAAAGATTAAGTTGGTGTGATGGCACGTGCCTGTAATCCTACCTTCTCAGGAGGCTGAGGTAGGAGTCTCACTGAGCCCATGGAGGTCAAGGCTGCAGTGAGCTGTGATCAAGCCATTAGACTCCAACCTGGATGACAGAGTGAGGCCTTGTCTAAAAAAAAAAGAAAGAAAAACTGAATCGAGGAGGTCTGTGCATTTTCATGTTATATGTTTATTATGGAGAGGAACAGGTTTTAAGAGTGGTTCTCCTGCGGTATGAGTGTTATTATTTAGCCCATCTTTGTTGCCTTTAACTGTTGCCAGTGACACAAAAGATACAGATTAGTCTTAATTGCCTTGTGTGACTTCTGTCACCTCACAGACTGTCCTTAGATGCCATCCTGATTGTCTCAAATAAGACCTATAGGTTCTCCCTAAACTTTTTCAGTTGTCTGAGGATGAGCACTTGCGGGTCATGGGTGAGGTCAATACTGCAGGTTGGCCTCATCCTGGTGCTTGGACCAGTAGTGATGTATCACTAAGAAATGATACCCTAGCCTAGACATTGCCTAGCTTCAGAAGCTGATTCTGATTATCAGTATATAGTTACTTGAGCTGGGCATGGTGGCTCACTTCTGTAATCTCAGCACTTTGGGAGGCCAAAGTGGGTGGACGATGAGGTCAGGAATTTGAGACCAGCTGACCAACATGGTGAAACCCCGTCTCTACTAAAAATACAAAAATTAGCTGGACATGGTGGCGAGCACCTATAATCCCACCTACTCAGGAGGCTAAGGCAGGAGAATTGCTTGAACCCGGGAGCGGAGGTCACGGTGAGCTGAGATTGTGCCACTGCATTCCAGCCTGGGCGACAGAGTGAGACTCTGCCTCAAAAATAAAGTCACTTGATCTTTGTATGCTATATTTTACTAGACGTTTTGTTCAACATTCTTTAACACTCCAGTTTTTTTTTTGTTTTTTGTTTTTTTTGAGATGGAGCTTTGCTCTGTTGCCAAGCTGGAGTGCATGGATGGAGTGCAGTGGCACCATCTCAACTCACTGCAACCTCTGCCTCCCGGGTTCAAGCAATTCTTCTGGCTCAGCCTCCCAAGTAGCTGGGACTACAGGCACCTGCTACCACTCCTGGCTAAGTTTTTTGTATTTTTAGTAGAGACGGGGTTTCACCATGTTGGTCAGGCTGGTCTCAAACTCCTGACCTGGTGATCCAGCTTCCTTGGCCTCCCAAAGTGCTGGGATTACAGCCGTGAGCCATGGCGCCCGGCCAAGATTCTAGTTTTTATGTATTGTTTGGGTTTTTCCACATAGGCATACACATTATGTGTAACTGACAGTTTGATTTTTCCACTTCTTTTTGGTGATTTATGTCTCTTGTAGACAGAAAAGACTAGAACAATAACTAGAAGTTGGCTGGGTGCGGTTGCTCACGGCTGTAATCCCAGCACTTTGGGAGGCCAAGGCGGGCAGATCACGAGTTCAGGAGTTTGAGACTAGCCTAGCCACCATGGTGAAACCCTGTTTCTATTAAATATACAAAAATTAGCTGGGCGTGGTGGCACATGCCTGTAATCCTAGCTACTGAGCAGGCTGAGGCAGGAGAACTGCTGGAACCTGGGAGGCAGAGGTTGCAGTAAGCCTAGGTTGCGCCATTGCATTCCAGCCTAGGGGATGGAGCGAGAGTCTGTCTCAGAAAAACAAAAACAAAAACTACGAGTAGTAAAAGCGGCATACTTTTCTTTCTA